ATCACAGTGTACTTCCTTAAGAGTTAAAAAGGATGAGATAAATGATAAATAAGAATTTTCCATTTTATGCAAGTCACTGATTGTCCTGGAGCACCATGGGTTTTTAAGTTTTAAATGAAACTTAAAAAACTCGACATCATCAGGATATTGCATTCCTTTAGTCATCATTGCTAGCTCCAGTAGGCTAGTGGTATCTTTGAACATCTTCAGGTTAGTATTGTATTCTTCTACCTGTTCCTTGATAGGTTCTGTGATAGTACATGGTATTGTGAGAAGATTAATGTTTAAACACGAGTAATGAGGCTGGAGCAACTGCACAAGTTGATGAGCATTTTCACAAGTCGCATCTTCTTTGATATATAATTGAAACTTTTGTTTTGCAGCTGTTACCATGGCTTTGCTGGTCAACATGCTGAAGGCAGTATCAATGAAGCTACTCTTCAATGTACAAAAACAATTTTGCAGCCATTGAAACCTTTCTTTTAAATTATTTTCAATAACACATATGAATGGTTCATACATGTAACTACTAACTTTACCTTTAAGAGTCATTTTCAGCATGTCTTCAACTGAAGTGTCATTTTGTGGTATAATTCTTTCTCCTCCAATTGATTTGAATATATGCTGAGAGAGAGCAAAGCATGCTAAATGGTTTAATCCAATGTATTTTTTATTTCTCGGTTGTTGTACAAATGGATTAGCACCATTTTGTAGCAATGATTTAAAGATTTCAATGTGTCCACCTTGACTAGCTAGCATTAGTGGAGTCTGGTCATCAGTGTCCTGGTAATTTAGATTTATTTTAAGTTCTATCAGAAGTAATGATAACCTCTGATATTCTATATTACTTTCAATACTTGCAATACACTCTAGAAGTGATTCTTCAAATGTGAAGCTAATATCTTCCTTTATGTCAATGATAGTTTGATTGTCAATGATCAGTTGAAATATACCAAGAAGATGAACAAAAGGAATTTTAGTTTGTGATTTTAAAATGAGAGGTTGAACTGATCCTTTGGAAAATACCAAAAATTGAATAGAAATTGATCCTCGGGAAAACTTCTTTATGGTAACATATTTTGCTTCATCATCAAATAAATACTTTACTAGCTTACGAACATGACCAATAGTTAGATCATTCCACCTTCCAGACAACTTGAGAATTACT